TGAGTGTGTGAGTGTGTGTGTCTGTGGGAGAGAGGGAAGGCGGAGCAGGAACGTGGGGGAGGTCGGGTCGAGTCGGGCGTCCATTCGGGGCGTGTATCAGCTCAGGTTTGAATGGAGACGGAAATATGTGAGTGAAGAAGAAGAAGAAGAAGAAGAAAAAAAACACGGACGCGAAGTAGAGTCCGCAGGCCACAGAACATTTCACATTCACTGCTCCAGAGCGATTCAGCAAGAGGAGGATTCACTCGCCTGCAAACTGTGAGTTTATGAAGAAAAGAGGGATTTCTTCTTCTTCTTCTTCTTCTTCTTCTTCTTCTTCTTTTTGTTGTATCGCGTGGATTATTATTCCGGGGAAAAGAGATACAAAGAGGCTGCTGCGTGTATCATCTGCGGGATGCAGAGTATCAGTTATACTTCCGTTTTAAACCGTTTCTCATTAATATCTCATTTGGATGGGTTTCTATTACATGTTATATTCAGTCTAGTGTTGCATGATGTGTTTGAAGTAAAACAGCTGGCCGTGCATCTGTCGTGGACTTTGCGTGTAAATGCACCTCAGGATCTCATTGTTTTCTGCTTCTGAACGAAGCTTTGCTGGAGCGGCTTTAAGAGCAGCCTCTTTGTGTTCAGAGATCCGCAAATTCAGCTCGGAAGAGCATGTACAGCCGGTTATATGTGTTGAATCTCTTTTTGTAACCACAAGTAATAGTTTGAAATTGAAAGAGAGTGTTGTTTTGTTCTGTTTGGATGAGTCTCAGTACAGTGGTATTTAGCGTAATGATTCATTTAAGTGAATCGATTCGTTCGAATCCCCTTCCAGAAGTCTTCATGCGTTTGATTTTCTACGTTTTTGGGGTGTATCTATATTTAACTTTGTAAATTGTGTTATTTTAACACGTGTTTATGTTTATGATCCCAGCGCACCATTTACGGATGTGGAGCGAATCGGTTCGTCTGAATGATCACTTTGAATCGGTTCTTTTGAATCGGTTCAATAGAATGATTCGTTGTCCAGTCAGGCATCGCTAATGATAATTATTCACTGGATCCTGTTACACTTAATGATTGTTAATAACGTACATAACATGTATAAAACATTCATATAATCACTTCATGTAACTTTTGGGATTTTTTTTTTGTTTGTTTTTTTAGTTGTAAATTGTCTTTATTATTTACGTGCAGAACGTAGACACATTAGTTTCTTAGTTTTATTCGGTTACGTTGCATCTCGGTTACTGTGTCACGTCGAGTGTGGTCGCATGAAGGCCCGAAAGCCTCGGACTCTGGTAGGCGCGGGCTGCGGGGGTGTCGCGCATGTCACGCGGCGGTGATTGACGCCGCCAGTCCGAGGCTTTGAGGCCCGCGCGGTGCGATGAGCTCAGATGTCTCCTGTGCCGTCTCCTAGGAGACTGTAACCCGAGCACGGCATTGAAACACTCAGTGGACGCTCATTTCAAAACAGTTTGACATTCACAGTATGTTCTCCATTCTTCGTGAACGAAAGTGCACTGTAGGTGATGTTTTTAGGCTTCATTTGGTGCTTGTAATGTGTCTTGTGACACTGGCACATGTGTGTTTGTTCAACTGTGTTGTTTAAGTAGGTCAGATGAGAGCAGGAATAATGGGTAACTGTATATGCAGGCCGAATCCACACCTGGGACCGGTGTGTGTGTTCATAAATCACAGCTGCCACACCTCACCTCCATCTGCACTGAATACCAGACCGGCTTCTGCACCTGTACAGTAAAACTGCAGCGGCCAGTTATCCTGGATTCATATGTTCAGATGCAGTCTTGTAGGTTTGGAGTCATATAGACGTTTAGAAGATGTCTTTAAGATGTTTATGATTTGAAAAAAAAACAGCATATGCTGGCTAGGTATGTTTTGATGCTGGTTTAAGCGGGTCCTTTGCTGGTTTATGCTGGTTATGTGCTGGTCTTAAGCTGGTCGGATCAGCACATGACCAGCTAAGGACCCGCATAAACCAGCAAAGGACCCGCATAAACCAGCACATGACCCGCGTAAACCAGCAAAGGACCCGCGTAAACCAGCACATGACCAGCATAAACCAGCAAAGGACCCGC